GTTGGAATTATTTGTCAGTTTATTTTTGGTGGTACCAGGGTTTGAACTCAGGGCTTTGGGCTTGCTAAGCAGGTGCTCTACCACTTAAGCCACAATCCTAGCCATTTTGCTTTACTTATTTTTTGAATAGGGTCTCACATTTATGCCCAGGCCAGCATGGATTGTGGTCCTCCCTTTTATGTTTCCTGAATAGCTGGGATGGCAGGCACACACTATTATGCTCACCTTTTGATTGAGATGGGGTCTCATGAACTATTTGCCAGGAGCTGGCTTCAAACCAAGATCCTCCTGATTTCAGCCTCCTGTATAGCTAGGATTATAGGAAGGAGCCACACATTCGGTTTTGTCAACATTTTTTAAGTAGCCATCATAAATGCATCAGTAAGGAATCACAAATACACTAGAATCAAATATAAACGTAGGAAGTGTCAGCAAAATAAAAAAAGATAGATAGATAGGTAAAATAAAGCCAAATGAAAATTTTAGAACTGAAAAATACATCCACCAAAAGGAAAACCCAGTTGATGAGCTTGACATCAGAATAAAGATGACAGAGGGAGAAAAGTCAGTAAATTTGGAGATAGAGTTTACCCAATCTGAATAATAGGGAGAAAATAGATTTAAAAAAATTGAGAGGACCTGTGGTATTATAACAATTATAACAATGGATCTGACATTACTGTTGTCACAATCCTGCAGAGAAAGGAGAAGAGGAACGGGTCTGTAAAGGTACTTGAAGAAATAATGGCTGAAGACTGTCCAGGTTTAGCAAAGGACATAAATCTACAGATTAAAGAAACAAAGCAAACTCAAACAAGATAAAGCCAAAGAAATTCACATCAGAACACATAATAGAAACCTCTTAAAACTAAAGACAAAGATAGAATTGAGAAAGAGATGACATTTACCTATTAGACAAGAACGATTTGAAAGAGCAGATTTGTCATCAGAGACTATGAAAGCTAGAAAGAAGTGGCACATTGAAAGATGAAAGAAAAGGAATATCACATCAAAGTCCAATATTCAGCGAAAGTATTCTCCAGTGAAAGAGAAATCAATATTCTGTGTTTCCCAAGTGCCATTTTAAATTGAAATGTGCAAATGTAGCTTAAAGTGATATTTTTGTTGCAGGCAACTAGATGGATGCTCTGGGACAGAAGACTAAACCAACAGTTTAAATAAATTTTGATAAACAAAAAAAAAAGAAAAAGAAATCAAGGCATCTCAGAGAAAGAAAAATTTATAGAATCTGTCACCAACAGAACTACTGTAAAAGGATGACTGAAGGAAATTGGGTTTTTTGTTTTGTTTTGGTGGTGGTGTTACTAGGGTTTGAACTCAGGACCTCCGGGTTACTAGGCAGGCACTCTAGTACTTGAGCCACACCCCAGCCCTAACAAAGTGTAAAGGATATGATTAAAAAAAAGAAGAAGAAGAAATTTGATTACCAGAAAGGAGAAAAGAATGATGGGAAGAGGAAAATATTGGTAAATACAGTAGACTTTACTGGGCCCCTGGAGTTTTCTAACATTGTCTGGTGTAGTTCTCAAAGTAGGTAGAGGAAATATTTAAGACAAATACAGATGGGGAAGGCTACAGGGACTTAGAGGATGAAAGGTTTCTACATTTCACTTGAACTGATAAAAATGCTGATGGCAGCACACTGTGATAAGCCATGTGTCTATAAAATACTTCAAATAAGAAATGACTTACCCACAGGAAGACATGAAAAAGGAAACGGAAATGAAGAACAGACGAAATAAGAAGAAAATACAAAAAATTTAGAAGCAGGCTTAAGCCCTAATATATTAAATCAGTTAAGACAAACATTGCTAGAGTGAAGTTTTTAAAAAGACCCAACTATATGCTGTCCACAAGTTACTCACTTTAAATAACTATGAGGCTGGAGGTATAGCTCAGTAGTAGGGTGCCTGCTCAGCAAAGGCTAATCCAGGACCTGGCATGGTGGTTCCCACCTATAATCCCAGCTCTGTCAAGGTTGAGGCAGAAGGACTGTGAGTTCAAGGCCAGCCTAGGATACCTAGCAAGACGCTGTCTCAAGAAAAAAAAAAAGTCAATCCACCAAGAAGATACCGCAATAAATGCATATGCCCCGAAACAGCTGCAAAATATGTGTAGCCAAAACTAATAAAACCAAAAAGGGAAATAGATGAATTTACAATTTTAGTTGGATTCTTGAACACTTCTCTCAATTATTGATCAACACCTAGATATCACATCAGCAAACATTTACAGGAATTCAACACAATCAACTGGATGCAATTCACACGTCTGTAGTGCCAGTGCTTGGGAAGCTGATGCAGGAGGAATGCTGGAGCCAGCCTGGGCAACATACGACCCTGTCACAAAGAAAGCAACAAACAAACTTCCTCCACCCAGCAGCAGAGTGTACATTCTTTTCACACATAGTAAATCATTTACTGTGGTGGAGGCAGAGTTGGAAAAGAGAGGTGGGGGTGGGGCGTCATCACAGTACACTCACTGTATGCATGCCTGAGAATATCCTGTAAACCCATTTTAAAAATTGTCAAAGAGCCAGGTGTGGTGGTCATGCCTGGAGAATCAAGAGTTCAAGGCCAGCTTTGGCTACATAGTGAGATGTTATCTCAAAAAAGTAAAAAAGTTTAAAAGGGGGGAGATCAAAATACATTATATACATGTAAGGAAATATCACAGCAAAACATCTCACTTTGTACAATTAATATATGCACACATACATAAGCGCAGGTGGCTCTCGCTTGTAATCCCAGCTACTAGGGAGGTTGAGATCAAGAGGACCATGGTTTGAGGCCAGCCCAAGAAAATAGTTCATGAGACCCCCATCTCCAAAATAACCAGAGCAAAAATGGACTGGAAGTGTGGCTCAAGAGATAGAGAGCCTGCTTTGCAAGCTTGAAGTCCTGAGTTCAAATCCCAGTGCCACCAAAAATCACACACACACACACACACACACACACACATATATATATATATATACACACACACACACACACACATAAAAATAAAGATAATGTATGTAAAAAAAAAATTTACTGAGACAGACCACATTCTATGGGTCATAAAAGAAACCTTAACAAATGTAAAAGAATTGAAGTCATACACATTGTGACAAACTATCTGGAAATTAAACCATACATTTGGAAATAAGCCATGGGTCAAAGTGGAAATCTCAAGGAAATAAAAAGCAGACTGGGATGAAAGAAACTGTTCTGGTAACCCATTTCATAATGGACTAATACGAGGATCAACTTTTTATTAAGGGAGAAAAATCATTTTTTAAAAATGTCCTGAACACTGAGATTCTTTTTTTCTGTACTGGGGTTTGAACTCAGGGCCTCTGCTTGCTAGGCAGGTTCTCTACCAGTTCTGGCCACCCCAAAGTCCTTTTTTATTATTATTATTTTTTTAGTCGTTGTTCAGAGAGGGTCTCTGGCTTGTTGGCCAGACATTCATTAAGATTTTTTTGGCAGTACTGGGGTTTGAATTCAGGGCAGCACTTGAGCCACTCCACCAGCCCTGTTTTGTGTTGAGTATTTTGAGATAGGGTCTCCCGAACAATTTGTCCATGCTGGCCTCGAACCGTGATCCTCAGGATCTCTGGAAGTAGCCACGATTACAGGCTCACGTGAGCCAAGAGCACCGAGCTATATTTTAAGAATTTGTGACCATTCCAATTGCTACTCCTGAGCAGTTTCTTCAATCGAAAAACAAAAATTATGCTAAGATATGTTAAGATCTCTAGGAGCACAGTATAATTAGCAGTTTTACTGAAAGGCAAGGAAATTTTATGGAATAAACAGTTGATTTTTGTTGTATTGATACTTTGTGAAAACACCACTGGCTCTTCAAGAGACTACCCAGTCACATGCCCCAGTAATAAAATTCCATCAGCTCTGATATTTTGCCAACGCTCTGTCATATAAAAGCATAGCTCTGCACGCATTTCCACGTTGGTTATTGTGAACCTTTGTGAAAATAACAGGCAAACATTTTGTGGAAGGGCTTGCGCTTCGATCGATAGCTTTTAGATGCTTAGGCACTCGGTCTGTCCGTCTGTCTCCATTCCTGCTTCTCCCTGGGCCCTGCAGATGTTGGGGCGGGTGTGGCCCTAACCTCCTGGACCCTCGGACAAGGACGATAACGGAATCGGGAAGAACCGGGCACCAGGTGCGTGACGGGCGTTGCGTGAACTTGGGTAGCAGAAGTTCCTCGCTCTCCGAGGAAGGAACCGTGCGCGGAGTGTTTGGGGTTTGCTTGATTCCGTCTTTCTTGTTAGGATCCAGGACGCAGAGTGTGTTTGAGGCTAGAGGAGTTGAAGAAGACACGAGGGAGACGCGGGATGGAGCGGGGCTCGCAGAGATGCGCTTAGGCAGCGGGAATGGAGAAGAGGAATCCCCGTCCAGCCCCGCAGAAAACGCTCAGGCGACTGGAGGTGTGCGTGCCTGCGTGTGCCCGCGTGTGCGGGGAGCGGGTGACAGCACCACGCATGACGAAGCTTCTTCCCCGCCCGCGGCCCAGGGCGCACACGCGCGATCCGCGGCCACGCCCGCACGCGCTCGCCACACACAGGGCACCCGAGGGTCCGGTTGCCATGGCGAGCGGGAGCGCGTGAGCCCGCCGCCCCGCCCGCCCTCCGCGGCAGAGCCCACTCTGATTGGCCACTGCTCCCTCATTATGCAAATCACTTGCGTAGACTCGGCGGACAGCTGCCTGACGTCACCAAGCACGGGGCTGGGGCTCGGGGCTCGGCTCTGGGAGCTCGGGCGGGAGCCCGGAGCGCGCCGTGCGGGGACCTCCGGCGAGACCCCAGCGTCCCGCCGCCTGCGCTCCGCCCGCCCCGCCCCCGGCCCCGCCCCTTTCCGGTCTGCCCCACCTCCCCACTACGCCCCTCCACCCGGACCCCGCCCCCCGTGCAGCCCCCCGCCCTCGCCGCCCGGGCCCCGCCCCCTCTCCCCCCCCCCCCGGCCCTCGCCACCGGTCCAGGGAGGGGACGGCGGGACAGGCGGGAGCGGAGGGACCCGCGGGAGGGCGAACTGGGCGGGGACATGGCCGCGGCGCCCGGAGGGTCTGCGCCGCCCGCCGGCCCCGGCCCGCGCCTGGGTTTCAGCACCGCGGACAGCGGCGTCGGCATGAGCGGGCTGAACCCAGGTCCCGCCGTGCCCATGAAGGACCACGACGCCATCAAGCTCTTCGTGGGGCAGATCCCGCGGGGCTTGGACGAGCAGGACCTCAAGCCGCTGTTCGAGGAGTTCGGCCGCATCTACGAGCTGACGGTGCTGAAGGACCGGCTCACCGGCCTCCACAAAGGTGCGCGGGGGTCAGCCCAGCCCAGCCCAGCCCAGCCCAGCCCAGCCCTGTCTAGAGCCAGCCCAACACCAGTTCATTGCCTGCCCCGCCTCAGCTCTGTCCTCTGTCCAGATCACAGAGCCCCAAACCCGCAGTCTGCTCTGTGACATCCTCCCTCTGATCATCGCTCTGGTCCCCCAACATGTTCTTCACTCTCACCTCTAAATCCCTGCCCTCCCCCTCCCACACCCCAACAGTCCCCACCTTTCACTTAAACCTCTCCACCATCCCTCCCATCAGACACCCCAAATCCTTCAATTTGGAAACTTATTCCTCCTTTTGGCTCCCACATGCTCTCACCTGAACCCTGGACCCATACATTTCCTGAACCCTCCATCTGAGGTCACCCCTCTGAGGCCTATCTATTCACACATGTCTTAGGTTTGCACCCCCTCCTTCTGGCCTACAACTCCAGCCAACCCCCAGAGCCTTCGTTTGACTCTCGGACTATCAGCCTAACCCCCTTCTTTATCCCCGCAGCCAAACTCTCCTTTTTCAGCACCCAGACCAGTCTAACTCACAAAATCCAGCTCACCCACCAGGAGACTCTTGGTTCCAAATGGCCCCCTCATGTTTGACAGTAACCCAATCTCTCCTACCCTTTGCCAGAATCCTAATACTCCATCTCTTCTGGATTTGAGTCTGGAACCCCAGCCTCAGCTTGGAACTTGCACCTCTCTGTGTCCCCTTCACCTTAGGTTTTTCCCTTAGCCAAATCCACACTTCTTTCATTCACTAATCCTCCCTCTCCCTCCTCCTGTATCTCGCCTTTGCTTCTCCCCAATCCTCTTGATGCCCTCCTGCCCTCCATCTTGTCCCAGACCATAGCACTCTCAGGGTGGATCTGGCTGATCAGGAAGAAGGAAGGAATCTTCTCACTGTCCTTGCTAGACAGAGGCACCATGGCACTGTCCGGCCACACCCCTTTCTTCCTGTAGAGAGGGAGGAGACTTGTTTACATGCAGAAAAGTCTCTCCAGGCTGGGCTGGAGTAACCAAGCCAGAGTCATATAGTAATTTGAGGAGAAGCACCCTTATCTCCCCACACTACCGCCCTGTTGTGGTTTCAGGTTTTGGGTGGGGAAAGGTCACCATCTATTGTCCATGATCTTCCTAAGAAAGTGGTAGCTAAAAGTACATTTGTAAGGGCTGAGAGCTGGAATCAGCCTGCCACTTCTTTTTCAGCTGGGAGACCCTGGCTCGTTCCTTGGCACACTAATGTAAGGGCTTCAGGAAAATGCCCATAGTAGGGTTGGGACCATCTGGGTAAGGGGAGGTCCTCCACCCTTGTTGGTGGGTTATGCTAAAGGGGCCATGAATGCACAAGGTGATATCATTCAGATTCCTTAGCATGAAGCCCAACTCCTGTCTGTCTTTCTGTCCATCTGCTTATAGAACTCATTATTTGTATTTTCTAAATATTGATTTCAACATAAAAGTACAAAGCCTATCTTTGTAGGTTAGCTGTACATTAAGAGTATAGAATACTGTTAACTTCAGTTTTCACTCTTCACTCAAACAGTATCAGTCTCTGTACTGATCCCTCTCTTTCTCCCCCGTTTAGCTCTAGTCTTCCTGTTTTTTTCATTCATCTGTCCATATTTCTATCTGTCCATTCTTCCACCTTCTACCTCTCAGTAATCCACATAGGCTCCTTTAGGTAGCAACTGGGCCCCTGAACCTTTCAGTGCCCCCCACACACCTGGTTCTGAAATCAGATGATATGGTTTGGTGGCAGAAGATGGAGTAGTGATGAAAGTGGAATCAGGTGTTTGATGATTTATTCCCAAACCAACTTACACCTCTTCGAGGAAAGTGTTTCCTTGCAAGATATGGAGGGTCAACATCACCCCCACCCTCTCCCCAGCAACAGTGACATCTGAAAGCTAGAATGACTCACTTTCCTTTTGATGGCTGAGTACCCAGGGAGGCAGCCACAGTGCTTTGAAAACAACCTCAGCCTGGAGTTAGAAAATTCTAAACCCTGCCCTGCCAGTGACACACTCTCTGGGCTTCAGTTTCCCTATTGATATGATAAGAGTTTGGCCAGGAGTTCTCTGGGAGATCCCTTTAAATCAATGAATGGTAGATAAACTATCCATCTTAAGACACCCATAGAAGATGCCAGAAAAAACATTCCCATTTGCTTTTCCAGTGTGCTGAGGTCTAAGTGGAAAGCTCCTAATGGCTTCTACATCCACTTACTCTTCCTTCAGTCCTTCTTCTCCTTCCTAGACTCAAAAGGCCTTTTTAAAAATATAGATCTTATCATGTCACAACTCTGCTAAAACCCTTTAGTGGCTCGTCCATTACTCTTAGAAAAAAGTTCAAAATCTGATAGAGGCCCATAAGGCTATATATGATCTGATTCCTGCATACCTCACTAGCCACTCTGCCCATTCACCAGCCTCCACACCCACTAGCCTTCTCACCATCTCCCAAGCACACTCTCCCCTCTCCCAGAAATAATCATCACCCTTCTTGTCACCTCCTTCTAGAGAACTCAATGTGCTTCTTCTTGAGGACTCAGTGTCTTTGAGACATTCTCCAACTGAGTTCAAAGGACTCAGTTAGGTGCCCCTGGTGATTTGCTATTTAATCCCTAGGAGGGCAGAGAACATATCTATCTTGCTGCCTCTCTATACCCAGACCCGTCATAATGCCCCACTATAATAAGCAATTATTCAATATTTTCTGAATGAATGAGTGCTCAGTGAATGTTGGCAAGGAAGAAACCCCTGCCTTAGTGCTTTCTGGTAGGCTGCAGATTTTAAGGCTGATTAAAGAGGGGTAGGAGTTTTGGCTCAGCCCAGACATTTTCCCTGCCCCATACCAGATGGTCCTTTTAAGAGGGAGATCAGACAGCCAGGTGCTCATGGCTCACGCCCTAGCTACTCGGGAGACAGAGATCAGGAGCATCATGGGTCGAGGCCAGTCTGGGCAAATAGTTTGGGAGACCCCATCTCAAAAATATCCAACACACACACAAAAAGGGCTGGTGGAGTGACTCAAGTGGTAGTTTGCCTGTCTAGCAAGCATGAGGCCCTGAATTCAAAGCCTAGTACTGCCAAAAAAAAAAAGAGGGACATCAGAGTTTAGGCACAATAACTCTTTGAGAGGCTCTATTTTGAAGTTCTGGGAGAGTTAACTGATAGACCAATGTCCTTGGGCAAGATTAGGGGGGAATCCCTGGAAACTCCCACCTACAGGAAGCCCTTAAACCAGAATCATCTTCCAAACCTCAAATCAATCCATTCCAAGCTTCAAGCACGGGGAGGGAGGTGTTCGGAAGTCACTGTAAACCTCTGAGCTTGACCCCCAAGCCTTCCATCTGACACTGAGTTGAGAAGGAATTGAGGCTGACCTTGGGCAACTCTGTGAATCTGTATCCAGAAAGGAAGGGGGTGTCTGGGTTAAGGAGAGGGCAAAGCCGATTAGGGAGGTTTAACCCCAACAGGACCTGTGTCTGGACTGCAGAGAGGAGACTGGATGGGCCCATGACAGGGCATGGCTACATATGTCTTCTGGGCAAGAGGCCAGGAGCGAATGGGAGGGAGCCAGAGGCTGGGACAGAGGTCCCCAGGCATGTGAACAGCCTCCTTGCAGGGAAGTGGGAGGCAGAGAAGGCTTCTCAGAAGCAGTGTTCTTGTTAAAAGAGAGTGGTCTGGAGTTTGCCATCTTAATGGTATCTTTCCAAGAAAAGTGACCGGGGGTTTCAGGGAAACCTCTGAGCCAGGCTCTCGTTCCTCAGGCTGTGCCTTCCTCACCTATTGCGCCCGCGACTCAGCTCTCAAGGCCCAGAGTGCTCTGCACGAGCAGAAGACGTTGCCAGGGGTAAGTCCACCAGGGTTGGGGGTGGGGAGGAATCACCTCAGGCTGGGGACAGTGCACTAGGTGCAATCCAAAGCAGCATGTGAGGCTGGATTGGGACCAGAAACTAGCAGGGTCATCTGTCTAGGAGAGGGCTGGCCTTTGCCCTAAACACTTACAAGTCCTGTGTTACACTCAGTCTTCTGCCTCAAAGAAATGGGCCAACACCCTTGGGCCAAGTGTTCCAGTGCATCTTTTAGAAGAGCCATCAGGATTGTGAGCTAAGCCAGAATTTGTCCACCTTGGCTAAAATCATGGCTTCAGGTGTTGTTTGTCACTGATGTGGGCATGTGTATAGTTACACATGGGAGAGGCTCTGCTGGCTGGTGTCCCATTTTGACCAGTCCTATGATCCTTGATGACACTTTCCTCTGGTCCTCTTCCTGTAATGCCTTGCGGGGTGCCTTCAGTCACCAAAATTATCATCCCTCCACACTATAAGCACTTGGTTAAAGTTAGGGGAGACCTGATTCATAGGCAGCTAGGCTTAAAAGCACCACTAATTCCTGGTCTGGTCTTGGCTAATGGATAATCACTGGACAAAAAGCAAAGTGGAACCTACTAACCATGGGATAGAAATAAGAAGTGACCATGAAGAGCTAGCATGGGTCACCAGGAGCAAGTCATTTTCTCTTGTCCAAGAAGTGGTGTGTCTGTCTACAGCAAGAGCACTACTCAAATGCCATGGACCGGCCAAACCTGGGACAATGGCCATTCTAGGTCTCAGATTTAGGAGGGTCATTAGCCTACCAGAAAGAGATCAGGATGGATTGGAGACACAAAACATGTCTGGGATGATAGCTTGAAGGAAGTGGAGATATGGAGCTGGAGAAGATAGGGTTTGGTGGGATTTTAATACGGAGACATCCTAACAGGATAATTAAGAAATACTGGTCATGAGTCTCACCAACCTCAGCTCTGCATTGACTCATCCTATGTTTCTGGATGTTTCTTGTGCTTCAGTTTCCTCATCTATAGGGAGAGTGTTGTATTAACACCTTATTTACTCCCTGGGCTATAGTGAGGATTCATTGAGACTTAGCAAGTAGCTGCTACAGAGTCAGATCTCAGAGAACACGACAGTTGGGGTGGGGGTAACTGCTTTCAGGTTCTGAAGAAGGGTTTGGCTTTCTGTTGATGGATCCAGATGTCAGAGTCAGGATCAATGAATATAAGGAGCAGACACTGGTTTCAGCTCAGTATAAAGAAGTCACTTCTATAAATTGGAGCTGTCCAGTCATGGAACATGCTTTGCCAAGAGTTGATTGAGTTGTTGATAGGGTGTCAGATCCTAGAACCCAATCTTAGTAACTGATGCAACTTGAGCCTCACTCTTTGGGACTCAGAGCCAAGTAATACCAGCTCCTCACCATCACCAATCCTTTGTATGGAGGCTGTAGGGCCCAGACAGAACTGGGGGTAGATCCAGGTTCCACCACTCACCAGTTCTGTGATCTTGGGCAAGACTTTACCTCTAAAACTAAGGTTCTTCATTGTAAGATTGAACCAGTAGGTACTATAATGATCAAATGAGATCATTCATAGCCCAGTTGTAAAAGTAAGCATGCAGGGAGGGTTAGCTGTTGGTAGTAACAGCAGTAAGAGTAAGAGCAGAGTTAGTAGCAGCAGTAGTAGAAGTCATCATTCATCTAACCGTGGGAGCAAATGACTTTTGCTGGAACTGACAGTCAGTGAGATGAGCTGTTAGATCCACGTGGAACACAGCATGGTAAAGGCACAGAGACAGAAGGAAGGAACAGGTGGGCGTGAAATGGGGTGGGGACATGGGGGAGAGCCTGGACAGGCTGGGGAGAAGATCCACAGAGGATGGCAGAAGTCAAAGGGAGACTTGTGTAGGCTCAGGGATTTGGACTTTATCTTAAAAGCCAATGGGAGACACTGAGAAAATAAAGATGAACTCAGGGAGAAAAAACTTCTCAACTAGTCACAGGGCTCCACTAGGGGAGGGCTACCTGGAAATCTTTATTATAGTAAAGGTCCCTGCCATACACGTTGTGAGACCCTGGTGTCCTGGGAGGATTTGTGTAGAAAAGCAAAATAATAGTGACTAACAGTTATTGAGGACACTGTTCGTGGTACTTAACATGCTCCCAATATTTTAATCTTCTGTGAAGAAGGTGTTGTTGCGAGCACCCCTATTTTGCCAATAAGGAAACTGAGTCTGAAAGTCAAGTGATGTACATGTAGCTGCTAATAGAAAGATTTGGGCTTTGAGCCCAGTTAGTCTGTCCCCAAAACTCACTCACTCGACTACTGCCCTGTTACCTGAGCCAGCCTGATGGCAGACAGGGGTCATAGGCTCTGGAGAAGATGGTGACTGGGAACATGTTCCCTCTCCTACCCATCCATCTGCAGGCTTCGAGCACGGCCTGGCTTCCTCTGGCGCTGGCAGGATCGGCTTTACTCATCCGCCCCAGCTAAACAAAGTGAAAACTAATATTTAATTCTTCTCCTAAGTGAGACTCAGTGGCAGCGCTGGCCAGCCCCAGCAATGCCCATGCCATCATCTTTCCTCTGGGCCTGCCAGGGGCAGCAGCAACTTTAGTCACCTGGACTCTGGCCCAACAGCACCGGCCGGGAGGACCTGTTCCCCAGCCCTTCACAGGCACTGGGTCCTAGACACCACTGCCACCTGCTGGACAAACAGGGGCAAGACTTCAATCTGGGCTTGCGACAGGAGTCTAGCAAGAGTTTCAGTTCATCGGGGACCAGGCAGTTGTCCCCGATGGGGTCCATCCCCCAAAGGGAAAGCCTGGCTCCTTCAGGGTTTGAGGGAGTGAGAATTCCTCTTAGCTCCCCTTATCTCCCCCACTGCTGATCTGTCACCTATCAAAGCCTGGCTTCCTACTCAGGACTTCTTCAACCTCAGAGATCTGTCCCACCAGGCTCTCATTTCTTGCAGCCTTCTTTCAGCCTTGCTGTAGGTTCCAGAATCCACCAGAAAGAGAGTGCTGCCAACGTCAGCCCTACTTTCTGGAATTCAGAGAATGATCCTTTATTTTTCTGTCTTCCTGCCCATGACCTCCGTTCCTTGGGGAGCCCATCTCTTCCAACTCTCTGAAGGAGGCAGACATAAGTGAGTAGAGTAGTGAATTTGCTTTTGCAAGTTGTACCCTACACAAAACAGCTTTGGTGGAGAGGGCAAATGGAAGCTAAATCCATTCCTCCTCTATCCACCAAGCCATGAACATTGTTGCAGGACTGCATCAGCCGGAAGGAAGGGACACAATTTTTCTTACTTATCTCCATGTTTGGGGGAGTGCCTTTTTGTAATTCATGCAGAGGTACTATATGTGATCAAAACCACTTAGTGAATGAGGCTGAGCCTCAAGGAGCTTCCAGTCCAGAAATCACACCTTGCATCTCAGTGGAGTTGCATGTAAACATGTGAAAAAGGCTCACTCCTCAGGAGTGAGGAGGAAAGAGATGCCCTGCAGAAGGAGGTGCTATCTGAGCTGAATCCTGACGAAGTGTCATCATATATGTGGGTCTGGAAACCTAAAAGCCAGAGGCCACTTCCAAAATTCTGGGACTAGCATGAGAAATGGCAGGAGGGTGTCCAGCATTCTCGCGAGTGGAGAGTACTGCGCACGCTGGGACAGTGGGGGAGGAGAGACACACAGTTTTGATGGTCGGTCAAGGATCTGGGCTTTGTCAGGAGGCTTGCAGTGGCAGGCCCTGGGTGGACTTCCAAAGGGACTGAGTTTTAAAGATGACTCTGGCTACAGGGTGAAGGTTGAGTTGAAGAGGGAGCAGCATAAGAGATACCATGACAATGTCGCCTAAGAGCAGGTGAATGGCCTGGAGCTGGGGACAGGCAGGGATGGGGAGGTGAGGATGAACTCAGTGCTTAAGACATCCATGCACCAATGGGACTTGGTAGTGGCTTGAATTGGAAGAGGAGGTGAAGTAGAACAAAGAGCTGAAATGGTAGTTGCTTTTTCTGCCTACTTTTCCCTGATTTCGTGGCACCTCTCCCAGACTCACCAATGCTCCCTTCCTCAGGGAGGTTCTGGTAACTCTTCCCAGCAGAGGGGGAGCACTGAGGGTGAGAACCAAGTGGAAGAACAGAAGGAATCGGGACAGAAAAGCTCAAAGGCAGGAGTTTTAGACAATTCAAGCAGGGAATCTGTGGGGTCTCGCTTTCCTTTCTGCTTACAAGAAGGACCAGGGCCTTGTGTACATCTGGGATGCCTCTGAGCCTCCCCACTCCATTGTCTGGAGTAGGCTGCTCTCTTTCACGTTCACATCCTCTCCCTTGATTTTCCCTGCAGAGCCCGGAGGCACATCCCGGAATCTTGGGAGAACAGGTGCACAGCCAGGGCAAGAGCTCACCTGAAGTCCTAGGTTCTTGGCTGAGCAGCCAGTGCCCCTTTCCTCAAAAGAGGATTCTGATTATCTCACCACTCCAGGTCCCTCCCCTGCTTATGGCAGGAGTGAGGTAAGGCAGGGTCGCCCGGGCAGCTCACGTGGGCACCTCTCTTTCTCCTCCAGGTGCACATAGCACACCTAAACCTTGGGTGTCCTCTTAAACCACTGCCACCTGAGGCGTGGGAGGTGCTGAGGCTCGGAGCTGCGGGGAGCAGTCTGCTTCCCATAGCTCTGTGATCATCTTCTTCGATGCAGGATGCAGGACTTCCCTGAACCTCTAAACTCCCCGACAGCCGACTCCCCCAACTCCTGAGTTATAAGCCTAATAGTCAGCCAACATTCCCTGTCCCTTGGTCACATATCCAGTAGGACTACAGCCTCTCTTGGAACTGTCCTTTTCCTTCTACCCTGGTCCAGGTTACCCTTGCCTCTGACCTGTCTCACTGATCTTCCTGCCTGTAATCGCCCCCTTTCCAGTCCTTTCTCTGCATACTGACAGCTTATGGATGCTTGCCTAAGACAGAACAGACTTTAAGTCCTTTCCTGGGTCCTTTTTGCATTTGTAATACAACAAAGCCAAAATTCCTTGACAAGCTATTCATAACCTGCCCTGATCTGGCCCCTACCTGCCTTTTAGTTCCACTTCCTCCACCTAGAAACAAATAAACAAATCCCCCCAAAATGAAAACAAACAAATTCACAAAAACAAACAAACCAGCCACTGGGTGGCTCATGCCTATGAGCTACTTGGGAGGCTAAGATCAGGAGGATCATGGTTCCAGGCCAGCCCAGGCAAGTAATTCATGAGACCCCAGAGTAAAATTGACTTGAAAATGTGGCTCAAGTGGTAGAGTACCTGCTTTACAAGTGGGAAACCCTGAGTTCAAGCCCCAGTCTCACAAAAAATACAGATTAATCAATCGATCAATAATAAACAAAATCCTACACAAATAAACAAAATTGATCAAACCTTGTGCACCTACTAAGATCTAACTGATGCCATTTTCACCACACTTGGAGAGAAGTTGCCAGTGATATAGCCAAGATTTAAATCCACATCTCAGAAGCAATCTGCTCTACCCTGGCTGCCTCCATGCCAGGTACCAGATCCTTGTCCTGTCAGACTTACAGCTCCCTCACTCTACCCCAGCCATCTAGAGTGCTCAGCTGCCAGCCCTGCCTCTTCCACTATCTCACCTAGCCTGTGACCTTAGACCAGCAAGGCCTGTGTCAAACACTCTCCCACATGAAGCTTTTCCCGAGTCAACCAGTGTCCCAGGGCTGTGGTCCCTCTGCACCTTATTATTTATTCATGTCTTAAGAATAGAGTTGAGCAGCACAATGCAAAAATCACAGACTTCATCAGACAGCCCTGTGGGCAAATCCCGGCTCAACCACTTACCCACCTCAGTGTGATCTTAGACCAGTGATTTGATCCCCTGCAGCCTCAGTTTTCCCTTCCATAGTATGGGGACAATGGTATAACCTTGCTGAACAGGTAGAAGGATTTGGAGACAATGTGTATAAAATGCCCCAAGAGAGACCTGGCACAAGGTGGGCTCACGGGCTCCTCTGTGAGCCTATGAGCAGAGGTTCCCATCTAAGCCATCACTGGAACTCATCAGAGTTCAGGAAACATTGACAGTGAGCCTGACTGGTGGAAGGCTTAGGCCTCCAGCCTGAGGCCTGGACCCTGCCAGGTTGACTGGGAAGGTGTGTCCCCTCTCCATTGAAGAGTGGTGAAGTGGGTAGGAGGAGGAAAAGGGGCATCCTTCAAAGCACCAATGAGCACCATCTCCAAGGAACCCTAGCCCGGGAGGCAGCTGCCATGGAAACTGTTATTGTCACATGTGCTCGTCACTCTGGGCTCCAGAGAGAAATTCTCAGAATCTATTTAAGAACTAATAAAATAATGATGGTCTTGCTCACCCTCACTACCCCCATCCCGGGCTTCTACCCCTCTCTCCTTCCTCCAGGCTTTTCCCTGTGCCCCCTGAACCTGCTTCCTGACCTCTCATTGCTTCCTTCCTATCCCTCCCAGTAACTCCCTGTCTTTGCCCCTTTCTAGGTCTGTCTCTTACTTCCTCTCATCATTTCTGTCTTCCTGTGTTTCTCCATCTCTCCCTGTGTCTCTGTTCTCCATGGCTCTGTCTCTTGGTCTCTCCTCCACAATCACAGGTGGCCATGCCCAGGGACGGGTCCTGTCCCCCTGGTCCAGGCCAGTCCAGACCTGTCCAGCTCGCCCTGATCTGCTTGGATTGATCTGTCATCCCCTCTAGACTGCAACCTGAGTCCTGTCGGTGTCTCGGTCCCTACCCACAGCCTGGTACACTGCAGGTGCTCAGCCACCAGCGGGTGGGTGTGTCAGAGCCCTGGGAGGGAGAGGGATTGCACTGGTTCAGGCTTGGCCTGTTTTCCTTTCTTTCTTCCTTTTTTTTTTTTTAATAAGTTCTCCCCACCCCTCCCACCCCTCCCACCCCCAAATTTGATCCAAAGGAAATTGCTCAACTGTGACTGCCAGGATGTTCCCATGGTTACCGGGTAGCACTTGTGGCTATGGTAACAGGAAGCTGCCTGTTGTCTTGGCAACTAGGGGATGGAATGGCCCCTGATTGGTGCAGAAGCAGTGCATTTCCTGAGGGGAGGGGTTCGGATCATCACCTTCTCAGGCCAGATGGGCATCAGTGCCCCTTCCTCCATGAACGGGAAGGCTGCTGTTCCTTCCTCCTGGCACTCAGCTGTCTGCCCCCAACAATAATTCCTCACATCCCACGCACCCAGCCAGCTCTTGGCAGTTTACCAAGACCTTTTGCGTCCCCATTACCTCATGTGATCCCCACAACACCCATGAGAGGAAGGTGAGATGGGGATTCATAATCATGACTTCACTTAGGGTGGTTGGGGGGTGGGAATGTGGGGGGCATATATTAAAATCACCTAGGAGCGTTCTCAAATTATACACCCCCCCACCCCAACTTAAGAAGCTAATATGGTTCCCAGGTGATTTTTAACCACCTCTAATCAGGGAACCCTTGAATTAAAATGGTGCAAAGCTGGTGGGAGGGGGAAGGGACGGAGGGAAAGGGGCTTTCCAGATTTAAAGCTGAGTGACTGGGAGGGTCAGGTTTGAGTGAAAAGGTGAGCTCTGGGCCTCCCTAGTCAGGATGTCCAGCAAGCAGCTGGGGAGCATGGTTCTCAGGCCCAGAAGAGAGTGTGGGCTGGAGGTGCAGAGCACTGAGTCATCCCTATGTGGGATGTGGGTGTGGATGAGACCATCCAGGAAGAATGGGAAGAGAGAGACAAGCAAGGGCTGATGGTGCCCTAGAGAACCCCAGCACCTTCCCGGAAGGGCGAGCCAGGGAGGGGATGGAGGTGGTGAGTGTGGGGACTGCGGTGGCACAGAAGCTTGGGAATGTTTTCCCCAACTGACAATCGAATATGACAGAATGGCTTACTTAAAGTCATACAACCATGAAATGGCCGAGTTGGGGATAGATCACACTGAATCTGATTTCCAGATGGTTTAATCTAAATAACACAAGTATTATATTCTCAGTTTTAGGTGAAACACAAATGTGCGGTATCAGTTGCACCCTCCCACTCAACTCCTCTCACTCAAAGTCTTTATGTAAGTCCAGGCATCAGAGAGACGGGCCCCACACGGCCCAAGTCAGAAAAATCTCTAGTTGCCCCATCCACCCCACGCTGACCACCGAGCTTCCTGCCATCAACACTTCGGGTTCCAGCACTTTCTAAATTCCTGGGTTTAAGGAAGAAATCTTGGAGAAAATCTCTAACCCCAGTGGGAGTGGTGGAGTGCAGTGCTCAAAGGGCCGAGGGCTCAGATTCTGAGGAGGCCAGGGGAGGAGAAGCTGGGGCCAGGCAGTAGCGCTGAATGCGTGTGTTGGTCCGATGTCTTTCAGATGAGTCGTCCGATCCAAGTGAAGCCGGCTGCCAGTGAGGGCCGAGGAGGTAAACTTTCCTGTCTGACAACCTCATTCTGTCACCCTGTGGGGATGGTGGACCCACTCCTGGAGTTAGTTCTACCAGTGGCTTACTATTACATCCTCCCTGGGTCAGTGGGACCCAGAGTTGTGCACCCCCAAAACCAGCTCAGCTATGGCAGCTCAGACCAAGAACAGATGGGGTTCTGGGGAGCCCAGATCCAGAAGAAGCAGAAAAGGCAGAAGCAGATGCTGGGGACAAAGGAAGGGAGTTCTCATCACCTTGCTCCTTGGAGTGTGGCCGTTCCTGTTTTGTCAGATAGAATTTATAGATATGTTTAAGGAAGCAGGCTGGGGTTATTCTCCTTTTCCTGATTCTTCTGTTTCAAAAAAACCAGTCCATTCTGAGTTGAGGCTGCTCATTCCTTCATTGTAATTGCCTGGTTATCATGGTAAAAGATGAGGCTAGGGTGACAGGCTCTGTGAGTCCTAGTAAGGAACTTGACTGTATGCCGAGGACAATGGAAATCTTTTCAAGTTTTTTAGCTGCACTATTTCCTGGTAGAGAGTTTACTGCTTGTTAAGAACAGGAGTGGTAGAGCGCTTTCCCAGCTTCCTTGCTGAAAAGGCAAAATTGGCTCCTTGAGTCCATTCTTGGTGTCTGGATCTTCTCATTGCCAAGTGTCTGCCTATAATCCCCTTGACGCTGACTGTCCCCTCTTCTGGGTAAGATTCCCTCCATGTCTTCCCAAGATCAGCTATGGTTTTGTTAGGTGAAAGAAACTGCCCAAGATCAGGGAGAGAATGGAACCCAACTGGTACAGACATCTATTAATCCCTTATCAATGTGGACTTCCTGCTCAATGTCACCCAAAGGGGCCTTTGGGGCTTCATGGTTCCCTTGTGGAATTCCTCCAATAAATATTTCCTTTATTCACTTAGATTCTCTGGCCTTTGTCTCTGATTCTTGATCTCTGGTCAAGGTGTCATCACCCCACATTGTCTTGGAGAGATATTTCTGAGTCATCCCCTCCCCCTGCCACCCCCGCCTTCCACACACATCCTCCTTTCCCATCTCATCCTTTCTGAATGGTTTTCAGATGTTCCAGGCTGCATCCAAAACTTCCTGTTCACATGTCCCAAGACTGTCTGCTCCTCCAGAGGCCCTGTTAGGCATCAAGGCCATTGTTGGCCATATTCTAAGGCCTACCACAAACACAAGACAGTCCCACAGATAAATGACCTAAAAGGACATGAGAGAGCTGAGAGGCAGACAGGATGAGCTATAGTTTATTCAGCCATCAGCCAACACGTTCTGACTTTCTCTACATAAGGAATACAGATGTGAGCAAGGCAGAGCTGGAACCTGGTCTCACAGAGCCCCAAGGCTGTGAGGGGCTGTGGCCAACTAGCAAGGGGATCACAATCTAGTGGGATCAGTGCTTCTCAAGAGAAAGCTCGCTGGCGGAGTGGCTCAAGTGCTAGAGCACCTGCCTAGTAAGCATGAGGCCCTGAGTTCAAACCCCAGGGCCGCCAAAACAATTTTTTACAAAAAGGGTGCATAGTCAAGGGAAGCCCAGAGAAGATCATGGGGACACAAACCTAACTCACTCCAGGAGGTCAAGCTCATCTCACAGAGCTTGTAATCTCTAAGGTAAGATCGTAGGGGTAACAGGAATTAGTTGGCTAGAGAAAGGAGAGAGGGAGCCCGTGTCTCAGGTCCACAAGGCTGGGTCCCCCTGCTATACAGAGTCCCACACATCTCATCTGAATTTGGGCAGCTACACAAAGGAGCCTCCATGCCAGTCAAGCCTCTGTCTGGTCTCATGGCGTCAGCTCCAGTGTTGAAATCTTCCTTCTTTTTGTACAAGTTTTGCAGGCGTCACATCACTTTAGCAGTGATCTGGCATCGCGCCCATACACCTCTTCAGATTTGCACCAGCGTAGGAGAGCAGGAGCTGCAACTCCAGGCAGCTGAACTCCTAACCTTAGAGGTTTGGTGTCACACAGATATTTCCTGACAACTGAAGGTGGTCAGGAGTGTGCGGGCCAAATGCATCTGTGAATTGTCCTTCCAGGTCCTCCACCAGATCTCTCAGCTCCTCCCTGTTCCTGCCTACGTATTCAGCAAAGAGGAAGCATGTGTGCTAAGTCTTGGGCCTTATAATGTTTATTTCTGACTGACCCGTGTTATATACTCTGGTTACTGATCAAAATGTCCCTCTTCTTCGGCACTGCCGTGTAACTCTTCAGGTGTGAGTTTGACTTTGCTAAACTGTAACAAGCTAATACTTGAGAAGCTCAATGCTTAAAGATTGTACTGGAACTTTGCTTTTGAAATGTAGCAAATGACATCAGTGTGGGATGTCAAACTTATTAAGTTTGCTTCTTTGGCCCCTCCTCCCAAACTTCCATTTTTCCCCATTTTCCATAAAGAGGTATTCTATCTCGCTTTTTAACAAAAATTGTCTCTTTATGTTCTGTCTCTTGAATTTTGATACCAATGTAAGAGTAGTAGTAGTGTTTTTACTTTTTTTGTTTGCTTGTTTTGAAACAAAGTTTCAGTATGTAACCCAAGCTGGCCTTGAACTCGATAAGTAACTCAAGCTGGTTACTAACTTGTGGTCCTTCTGCCTCAGCTTCCTTAGTGCTGGTATTACAGGCATGAACCACCATGCCCATACTACATACTACTACATGTAGTAGTCTTATTTTTAATCAATAAGCATGAGGTTTGTGGTGGAAATAACCAATGTACATACTGAATGTTGTATTAACTTTAGAAGTCATTGGTAACACTAGGATAGCAATACAACAGGATCTGCCTGAGGTAAAAGGCCAGTCTTCTTTTCTTCCTTGGTTGTCCCCTACAAGCTTGGTGACAATGTTCTCAGAGTACCAGATATATACCCAGGTCTTCGTAAGCTATATTATTTGAATGTATCCTGGCCAGTTCCTATAAATTCTGCAGCTAGGTTCTTTGCTCTTCAAATATTTCATATTCTGTGCCTACACCTTATGTCCTGTGGTGGATACACAGTGAACAGTATACTATTAAAGGAAGATGAATCTAATTTTCTGAAATGATACTATCTCACAGCACATTAAGACATCCACTTCTGCATCAGACACACAGGGGTCAGAAACTTTTCCTTCGGCATTTGAATGTATTTAAAGTTGAGCATTACAGTGTTTGCCTAAGCTGGGCACAGTGGTGCACACCTGTAGTCCACACTACTTGGGAGGCTGAGGTCAGAGTATCACTTGACCCCAAGAGTTCGAGGCCAGCCAGGCAACATATCGAGACACTGCCTCAACAAACAAACAAACAAAAGTAAGTGAGTAAATAATGTTTGCCTGGATAAAAATCCAAATATCCAAGGTTCCTGTATTTCAAAATGTTGAAATTTATTTGAAGGGAGAGGTAAGGACCCCCAAGTCTCTCAGACGACAGTAACTGAACAAGTCTGTATTATTTGCTGTTCAGCATGGGGACTGTTGTTGATGTTTCTTAACTTACATTTTTATCTCTGCTTTGGAAATACTAAGTTAAATTGTAAGTACAGTCCTACAGGAAAATAATTTTCTAGCCATAAGACAAAACCTTCAACATTATTGCACTCCTCGCTGGGTGCTGGTGGCTCATGCTTATAATCCCAGCTACTTGAGAGGTAGAGATCAGGATGATCAGAGTTCGAAGCCAGCTTGGGCAAATAGTTTGTGAGATGCTATCTCAAAAAAAAAAAAAATTACAAAAAAGGGCTGGTGGAGTGGCTCACGAGGTAAGAGCACCTGCCTAGCCCGTGTGAGGCCCTGAGTTCAAGCCCCAGTACTGCCAAAAAAAAAAAAAATCATTGAAATCCTGTATGGTTTTTTTTCTCTCTTTCAAATGTCATAAATTCACAAATCACAGCAGTGACTTCTCTACTTATTCTTTGTCTCAACTTTGCTGTATTTTTACTCAGCAAATATTTATGTCTCTGAGATGCCTAAGGTACAGAAATAGTTAAGTGATCAATCCACGCACTTTTTCCACTTTAGTTTATAATTAACTAGCTAACTAATGTATTTTTGAGAACGGTCTTGCTGTCCTTACATTCTCAGACCTCCTACCTCAGCATCCTGAGCTCTAGGATTCCAAGTGTGCGTCACCAAACCTGGCTTAGATTTTTTTTTTAATCTTCAAATATAAAAATTCCCTAAGGATTTTTAAGTACATTTTGAGGCATCTCTTTTCTTAAAAAAAAAAAAAAATCTTGAGTTTGCTTTTACTCAACAGCCAATTATCTGTTACCACGTTCTCTCTCTTCTCGCCACCCTGTAATTTAAGTAATTTCTGCCTGATTTTGCACAGGTTTGCTTAGCTATCAGCCTGAATTTTAAATAATAAAAATATATACGTATTGGGGCTGGCAGAGGGGCTCAAGTGGTAGAGCATCTGTCTAGCAAGCGTGAAGCCCTAAGATCAAAACCCAGTACCACATGCAAAAAATGTATCTATGGGTAGATAGGTAGATGATAGCTAGATAGATCGATAGATGAAAGATAATTACTATCCAACTGCTCTTTAAGCATCGTTTTCAAATTCTTTCCGCAATTCCACCTTATTTAGTGTTTAACACCTAATTTTTTAATTTAATTTTCCTTCCATCCTCCCCTCCATCTTTCTTTCTGCAGTGCTGGGGATTGAACCCAGGCCCTTCCCAAACATGCTAGGCAAGTGCTCTACCACTGCACTACATCCCTAGCCCTAAGGTCGAATTGGGAGGTGGAATCTTCAGAGTTTCAGAACCCAGGAACTATTCTCTGACCTAAATCACACATGGATCTAGCAGCAAGTGCTGTATCGCAGTCTGCTGACGGCCTGTCACTTAAGCTCACTTAATCTCAGGAAGAGCTTTCCCCATAAAGACTCACTGGATAGGTGTCCTGGCAGCACTTGAGACTTTCCTGAGTTACCTCTACTTCCTGAAATGCGTTCTACCTCCCAAGGTAAAGAGAGGAGCTTTGCTGAGCGTGGATCAGAGC